TATGCAACAGGTGAACTGTGGCATGTTTTGAGTTTCCCAGGCCTGACGTCACTGTCCAGGCTCATTTTTATTGGCTGAGCCGACCTCGTTCCCAGGACAACGAAACGCTGATCACCGAGGAAACCGAGCGACTCTTCAGGTCAACTACCGATAATTAGCAACTCAGTAAAACAACTACTGATAGGTCGAAACTCATTTAAATCCGTCAATACAATTTTTTTCTTACGAATAAGAGAGTTTTAAAAAGTTTCCAAAAAGCGGGGTGCGACGAAAACAAGCAGAAACATGGTGAGTACTGGTCGCCAAACACAAGTTAGAGTTAGCTTCGCTGCTGCTAACCGCTAGCTCCGTCAGCGCGCTGCTCAGCCCAGCAGCTTTTATTCGGTGTTTGTTCCTGCGTCTGTTCCTCTGACACAGAGTCGTCACTGGATGTACAACCGGCAGCAGAAGTTACTGTCTCAGCGCCAGAACCAGGAGCAGTACAGGCAGGAGGAGGCCCGGCGTGTGGACCGAGAGAGGCAGCTGCAGGCCGGTCTGAGAGACCAGGAGAGCTTCGAGACCAGGAGACACCTGCGACAGGTGCAGCAGGAGCTCAAGGAGAAGCAAATGGAGAGCGCTCTGCTACAGGTCTGTGTCTGTCAGACGGTTAATCAGCCCTCACTCTCAAGTATGCCTTGTTTAAATAAGGTCCAGCAGCAAAGTTCAGTCTGTACTGTCCTCCCTTGTCTCACTTCTTGGTTCAGAACAGAGGACACATGGTCGTGACTTTCTTCTTCCCTGGTGAACATTTTGAAGTTCAAACAGCAGCTTTATGTCCATTATTGTAAAACAAACACACAAAAGCACGGTTTTAACTGTAGCTCACAATTCAAATTCTGTAGACAAGACTCATAAAACATGGAAAATAAAATCTGAGTGAATACAAAATAACACATGCATACATTTGTGCAAAACTCTGTATGCCTTACACATACCCAAATTATTTACAATATGATTGAATACATTTAAAACAAAGGAAATAGGAAGTAGGTTTATTTAAATATTCTAGTGTGATGACCCAGTTAGTGGGTTTAAACAGTACACAAAACAACAAAAGTATTGCTTATGAGGAAATGTAATAGTTAAATAGACGTCCCGTCGCTTATTTGTAGAGCTGCAATGATGAACCGATTATTTGTCGACTATTTTGATTATCGAAAAATTCATTTGATTGATGTTGAAAGAAAAAAACGGTAAAAATTCTCTAATTCCACCTTCTTCAATTCAATTTTTTCCTGGTTTGTTTACTCCTTTATGTCAGTAATCTGAATATGTTAGTGTTGTTGCCAAAACAACACATTTAAGGATGAAATCTTGGGTTATAGGAAACACTGACATTTTTCACAATTTTCTGACAACTAATCAAAAAAATCGAGAAAACTGACCAACAGATGAATCAACAATAAGAGCAACTGTTAGCTGCAGCCTTTTTTTTAAGATAAATTCACAAATGTACTACAGATGTGCAACATTTACAGGTGCTATGATAGTTAGTGTTTCCATTTATGCTAAGACAAACAAACAAAACAACAAATGTGGTAGCCGTTTGTATATTTTTAATAGTTTATTGATTTCTGTCGCATATATATCTTCATCAACAAAACTGGTAGAAGCCAACAGGCGATAGAGACATTGTTTTCTATAACATTATGTTGTATTGTCAAGGTAGTAACTGCATCTTACCTGACTTTGGGTGTAAATAATCAGAATTAAATGTGACTTTCAGGCAGAGGAGGAGAGAATTAACAGGGAAAGGCAACTTGAACAAGAGGAGAGAATGGCCAAAGAGCTGGCCCGCATCAACTACGAGAAGCAAAAAGATGAGAAAATGAGGCAGCATATCCGAGAGAACAGGTACAGACACTTGCTCAGTGTAATGCAACACTTGATTAATCTTTTTCTTCTGCTTGTGTAGGTTTTTGAAAGGCTTTAACCTTCTGTACTTTTCAGCACTGAGCTTCGGGAATTGGAGTTAAAGCTGAAGTATGCGTATTTGAACAAGGAGCGAGCTGCACAGATTGCTGAGAAAGAAGCTATGAGGTTTGAGACGATGGTGAGCGCTGCCTTTGTGGTTCAGTCAGTCCATAATGTTCTCCATTACCTGAACCTGGTGTTCTAATGCATGATAGCAACCACAGGATATGAGCAAGTTTCTTTAAATGTTGAAAATACTGAAAGGAATAATGGATTACATTCCACTTAGAAGTAAAAAAAAAAAAAAAAGTACCTCTTGCTCCTAATGACAAAGTAGTGGTAGAGAAAGTAACACATTTTCTTTACATATGGTTAAAAGGCTCCAGGAGCTGCTTTTAACCACATTTTAAGAGACATTCTCAAATAGAAAAAACTGTATTTCCACAGTAGAGCCTATAACCTGTACACTGTGCATGTCTTTTTTGTGACACTAGCGGGAGGAGGCAGACTATGCTCGCAAGATGACGAGCGAACGTGAGCGAGTCGCCGTTGAGCAGCAGAAGCTGGAGGAGAAGCGCCACGAGGAAGTGGTGCAGTATCAGAGACAGCTGGAGCAGCAGCTCATGGACAGAGAGCGCCAGAGACAAGAGGCATACGAGGAGTTCCTCAAAGAGAAGCTCATGGTGGATGAGATTGTCAGGAAGATTTATGAGGAGGATCAGATGTGAGTCATTACTAATTCTTACACTCTTTGCTATTAATGCACAACGCAGAGAAGCACATTGTATTGCTTAATGTGTCAGTGAACAGGTGAGTGTCGGAGCTATTTCAATGTGAGTATGCATTTGAAGTAGAGTGTCCATCTAGAGAAAACATGAAGATAGCACAATATATTGGGCTGATTGAAAATGTATTGTTTTCCTGAAAGGGAGAGACAGTTGAAACTGGAGAAGGTCAGAGCCACTCAGCAGCACATTGAAGAGTTCAAGAGGCAGCAGGCCGAGTGGAGACGCTTGGAGAAAGAAAAGATGGAGGCCGAGAACAGGCGCATCATGGAGTTCGCGGAGCAGCGGCAGCACATGGAAGAGACCAGAATGGCTAAGATCCGAGAGAGAGAAGAAGCAAAGGAGCATCTGCATAAAATGGTTGAGACAACTTTTTCACTGAATGCTCATTGACTTATCTATTTTGTCAGTGACACAAGTTAATGAAGTTCTCTGTTCTGTAGCTGTGTGACAAGATGGAAGCGGAGAGGCAGCAGCGTGAAGAGATGGAGCAGGTCCGCGAGGAACTCTATTTAGAAGAGCAAGAAGAGGCCAACAGGCAGAGAGAAATCGTAAGGATCAGTATTTTTACTGTCTTACTTTACTGATTCTACACTAATAACAAAAAGACAGATAATCTTTTTCATAATGAAGATTAGAACTGCAAGGAATCATTATTTAACATATCAATAAATCTATCACCATCAGCATTAGCCCCCCCTTGAAAATGAGATGCTGCATCTAAAGGGGCTCTCCTTTCAGTAAAGTCAAATCTTTTAATAATTTGTTTGATCTATGAGATGCAAGGAAATCGGTAAAAAAAAAAAATAGCCAAAAATGATTTCACTGAAACAACTGTCCAAATCCAAAAGATTTTTCATTCCAAGATTGAGAAAACAATAAAACTCCTACATTTAAAGAGCCATAGCTGCGATGTTTGACTTAATTATTACTGATTAATCAGCTTGTTGTTGTAGAATTATCGTACAATAGACACAAAGTTGTAAATGTACCACTTTCATCATTTTTAAGTGACGCATGCTGTCTCCTGCAAACTTCTAACACTTCCTGTGACACTCCCATTAAACAAAGCAGTTCAAGTGTGAACATCCCAGTTAGGTAACACTGCAGCTCTCCGGAGTGGATTTAAGTGCATCTTAATTCTCTTAATAATTCTTCCAACTTGTATCTAACAGGAAGAGATGGAGAAGAAAATCAGACAGAGGCTGATGATGCAGCGGACCTGCCAGGAGCAGATGGCTTTCAGAGAGATGCAGAGGCAGGCGGAGAAAGAAGAAGAGGAGGCCTTCAGGAAAACCATGATGGCTAAGTTTGCCGAGGACGATCGCATTGAGCAGATGAACGCCCAGAAACGACGCATGAAGCGGCTCGAACACCAGCGCGAGGTGGAGAAAATGATAGAGGACAGAAGGCGGCAGCGCGAGGCCGACATGGTACGAACCACGCTCTGTTTGCATATTTACATCAGGAAAAAGGTGGTGCTGCTGTAGTTCTACGGTCAGCAGGGTTCTACCTGCACTGTATGTTGGAAAGCAACAGGTGGCAGCAGCCAAGTTTTAACACTTGCAAAGACTTAAGGATGAATATGAAAATATCCCATCATGAAAAGAATGTTTCTAGTCGTTAGAGTGAATACCTACTTTACCACAGAAAGTTATGGGTTTAGCAAGAGTAAGCGAAACACAACCTTCTGTCAGTTTTGAATCCCCTGCTCTGTTCATAACATTCTGATAACCCTCTTCAAGGAACTGGAGGCTAAAGAAAGAGCGCTTGAGCAGGAGAGGGAGGCGCTGCGCAGAAAGATCATTGAAGAAGAGCGGCAGGGACTCCTGAAACGTCACGCAACAAAACTCCTCGGATACTTCCCTAAGGTGTGCGACAGTGTGTGGAAAGAATTTTACAGGGCTTCACATCTTCAAACAAACGTGTGACCATCAGTGTGTCTGTTTTCAGGGCCTGCTCCATCAAGACGACCTGCAGCACTTTGATGAAGACTTCAGAAAACACTTTGAGTCACGTCAGGCGGACATCTTCTCTGAAGACGGCTGGGATGGTGACAGTTAAACTTTTTCTTCCAGTGTGCCACTAGAGGGCAGATTAAGGTTACAGTGAATGTATTATAAGTTTTAATGATCAATAAGTTCTACATTTTTCATTAACAGAAGTAGTTTTACATTCAGTGACAATAAAACAATTTTAGATATCTCTTTATTAGAACGGTGCTGACAGGATCTTAATTAAAACAACTCCAAAAAGTCCAGCTGAAAGAATCCGATCGTGTTTATTAGACAAACATCTTCATCTAAATTTTATGTGAATTCAAACTGTAGGCTTTTGAAATGTCAACTTACATTCGTAGGGACTGCAAACTAAAGTTCTTTACTTCACACACATAGAGATCTTTTTAAAAAACAAGGTAGGCAACTTTAATCAACACTCTTTGCTTCATAAAAATAAAAGTGTTGGCTTTGTGTTTAAGACTTTCCCCAATCCAGAGCCGTCATAAACTCATCTTCTGTAAAGGACAGCAGCTTGGCAGCTTCAAAATGCATCTGTGCACAAAAAGACGTGGTTAATTTCATTAAAAACTATCAGCGCGGTCTGATGAGGGAATGTAGAGATCCTTACCTTCTGTCTCTTGAGAATGTCGATCAGCTTGAGCTGTTTCTTGAACCCCACAATGAGTTCAGCTTTCTGTTTTTTCAGCATTTTGTTTTCGGCCAGTAGGTTTTCTTTACTCTGATGGTCCTCACTTATCTTGTCCTTATTCAATAGAATTGAAAAGTGAAATCAGTGGAAGTAAAGTAGAACTTGTTTGTGCAACGTGTGTGAATCTCAGTTATAAACCAGTTTATTTCCATTTAAGAGGGTGGTTCATGTTGTTTTTTGTTTTTTTTTTTAAAGAAGGGCTACTAAAACTTTTTCTCCACCACCATCTTAAGTTAACGTATTTCACACTGTGCAGATATTTTTACTGCACACTTGCTATACATAAGAAACCTTCATGCTTCAGCTTTGGTGTTCAGGTCAGTGGTCTGTGCGGCGCTGTAAAGTTTATTATTGTGGGAAGTTACTAAGCTGTTCTCGATGTCTTTTTATCTTATAAACGGATGCATTATCTTCTTACTTCAACACAGTCTTTTACTCTTACATCACACTCATACACTTATAATTACTCCCTTACAAATGTATTAAAGGAATGTTGTTACACCACATGTTGCTGCCGTGCCTCCTCAAGTTGAATGGATAGTTAATATTCAATTACAGATTTAGTTCTGTGATTGTTATGAATGTGTTCTTTTTTCGGTTTTTCCTGACTGGACCTTCAGACGTTGGCTACTCTCACCAGTAAACATGATCTCACCATGAACAGTAGAGGCAGAGAGTCTGTGTTGCCTTATTTGACAAAACTCTATGCACTTCCTGTTTGTCTGATAATTTAATAAACAAAAAATGCCTATTATGCTTGAGTACATGAAACCTCTGTTAACAAAACTGTTTCAAAATTGAATTGCTGTATTTCTGGGTTTTTTTTGGGCGGCCTGACTCAAACCTCTGTGGAGGGAACTAAAGGTTCCTCTGGTTTTAAATCATTACATGTTTCACTGATGTCTGTGTTATTTAAATGTACTCAACAGATAACCTCAACAGCAGAATAAGACCCATGTTAAGAGGAAACTTATGGTCTCTTGTTTCTGTTAAGAAGCGCTGTGCGGGGCTCACCTTGTTTGTCTGTTCCATCTTGTTTAGTTGAGTCTTCAGCCTCTCCACCTCCTCCAGAGCTCTGTTCAGGCGAACCTCCACGGTGCTGTGAACAGCTGCTGCTTGTTTGTGGGATCTATTCAGATTTTCTATTTCCTACACAGAGCACAGACAGGAAGTAATCAGGCATGAACAGCTCCCATGAATGATGGAGGATGGTGTCAGCTTGTTAATAAGACATATTTGGAGCAGTTGTCAGTCTTCATACATCAGACCTGAGAAGCGCTCTCGTATCATGCTTCACTTGTCACTGACACAAACCTTGTGCAAACCAGACACCTGCAGCTGAAGGCCGTCACATTTTTTGGCCGACTCCTCGGCTAAAGCTCTGTGCTTCTCAATCTGCGTTTGCTGGATGCTTGTGGTCTTCTGCAGTCTGGCTCGATCCTCCTCGAGCTCCTTGATTTTTGCGCTAAGCTTAGAGTTTTCATCATCCTGCAACAACAGAATCTTAAAGTTAAATGTGTGTTTGATGTTTGAAGCAACAACCCAGAATTAATATTGCTGCCACCACTGGTTCACAGTGTCATTTTACAGTACCTTCTTATAATATTCACTCGACATCTGATCCAGCTCCTCTTGCATAATACGTAGTTTTGCCTTGAGAACTCGCATTTGAGCATCTGAAACGACTTTTAAAAAATAAAACAAACACTGTCAGACATATGAGCTCGTAAAAGAAACAATCAGCAGCACCCAAGAAATAAGTTAAATTCTTATCATACTTATCACATAAATTACTTAATATATAAGCTTCAATTTAGATTTCATTAGGAGTCTCAATTGGCAGCAGTCCCTGATAGGATTTCTTAATAACCATTAAGTCCCACTTTAACACTAATGCAGGCTGCAAGGTGGCTCTGTGGTTAGCATTGTTGCCTCGCAGCTAGAAGGTCGCCGGTTCGCGTCCCGGTGAGGACACCCGGGATCTTTCTGCAGCGTGGGTTCTCTCCGGGTTCTCCGGCTTCCTCCCACAAAGTCCATAAACATGTTGAGGTTAATTGGTGATTCTAAATCATCACCTGATCCGACGTCAGCTCCAGTGTTGGTCACGTCATCCACAACATCTTCATGAATAACGACGTCTTTCATCTTTTCCTCCATGTTTTGAATCGTCTTTGCCAAGAAAAAATCTACCGAATCTTCTGCGGCTGCAAAATCCTCTACTTGAGACACCTTTGAGGTTCTGAAATCAAACAATGTGAAGATTTTGGAACAGAGAATACAGTTTACAAAAGGCACGACCAACATCCTGCTTTTACCAGGAATAAAAATGTTTGTAATGGATTTGGAAGTTATATAAAATCAAGCTCACGGTGGTTTGTGGTGAAGCTGTTTCCCCTGTTTTCCAGTAGACATATTTTGCGATGTTGTTGATGTGGTCCTTTTCTTGGTCACCATCTAGGAAAACAACACAGTGTAATGTAGACTTACAGGTTTGTAGGCTATCAAAACGTTTGCAGGTTTAAAAAATAATGAATTTATTTTTTTGGAGTGATACCTTCCCACCAGGCTGCTGTGCACTGCAGTGCTTAGACTTTGTTATTCTGTGAGTTAGACGCAGAGAGAAAGGCAGGTAAACATAAACGGTACATCAGAAATATATATCAGAGTCTGAAGTGTTTAATCAAATTAAATGTAGACTTTTAATTAACCACAAAAAAATGTGTAGTCATTCCTGTGGCATTTTTCACTTTTAATTTGTGAGATTTTGATATTTATTACCTAGAATCCTCTTCATCTTCAGTATCTGTGAGCAGGACGTTGGATAAAGGCTTTGACAAAACCTCAGTCTGGTCTCTCTAAAATCAAACAGAGAGCCAGTTTTGAAATAGATTCACTGCCCTTTCCCCAACTGTCCCCATCAGCTGAGACTTTTCAATGATATGTAAATAACTTACCATGAGCTGCTCTGCCTGTCTCACCAGTTCTGCTGTTTTGGCTTCCAGCTCTGCATTTAGGAGTCTGGTGGAAATAAAGTGTTAATAAAACAACGTTGTAAGATCATGAAGAAAAATAAAATTTATCCAAATATTTGAAGAAAATCACATTTTTATTGTTGGAGAGGGTTTTTCTATTATTCAGTGCCCTAAAGCGCAACTTTTTGAACACAATCCCTTTTGAAATTTTTATGTATTGACACTCTTACATGTGATATTAAGGTAAGGAAAGCATTTATAAAAAAAGTGAAACCAAAGTCACCTATGATTGATTATTAATTGAAAGTCTACATGACAGGAGCTTCTCTCTAGCCTTGATTAAGGAGAAGAATGAAGCTGAAGGAGTTCAACAAAGGGCTGAAAGGTGGTTAGCATCGTTGCCTCACAGCTAGAAGGTCGCCGGTTCGTGTCCCGGTGAGGACACCCGGGATCTTTCTGCAGCGTGGGTTCTCTCCGGGTTCTCCGGCTTCCTCCCACAGTCCAGAAACATGTTGAGGTTAATTAGTGATTCTAAATTGTCTGTAGGTGTAAATGTGTGTGCTTGGTTGTCTGTCTGTAAGTGTAGCCCTGTGATAGACTGGGCTCCAGCCCCCCGTGACCCTAGTGAGGGTTAAGCAGTGTATAGATAATGGATGGATGGAGTTCAACAAAAACGCTTTCATGCAGTGCAACTTATTCTGAGAGAAATCTTTGTCTTACAGTAGAAAACAATTCAATGTTATGATTTGTCAGAAGGGGAAATCTAAAGATTATATAAACAAAATATTCCAAAATGAATCAAAGATAACAGAACAGACAGTCATACTTATATTGCTCTTCCTTAGCGAAAAGGTCATCTGTGTGTTTCTTTGTCGAACCGGAAGCCGATCTTGCCTGCGGTCTTGATTCAACCCTCCTGGACCTCTCAGCCTTACCGGTAGAGGCCGGCCGTCTCTTTGTCTAAACATCAACCAAACATGACAGGGCAGTAAGATTTAATACATTAAGTCCCTAAGGGGGAACTTCACTTTCCTGATATCAGACAAAACTGTCAATTTGATGGAGTGGACGGATTCAGAGGTCTGGAGCCAGGCAGAAATGTCACATTTGTTGTGATTAGTTATTAGTTTGATATAATCCACAATATTAGTTTATACACCTCAGTGGAACATAGTAACATAATAGAGCATGTTAAAAGCTCATGCATGTGTAAAGCTAACCTGCACTATAATAAACATTTATAATAAGGATGAGATTTGCACCTTTTTTTGTATTTGCACAGTATAAAAAATAAAATTTAACTAAACAGGGGTTTGCACAGCATAAACACATATAGACTCATAGACTGTAAATGATGTAATTCCTAGAAATAGTCACAATGCTGTCTTAAATATTTAGCTTCGTAAAGAGATTTTTTTGCGGAAGTGGACACGTTTGTCGACAAAGTTGACATCTGGTGAAGTCGCTGCGATATTTAAACTTTTGCTAAAAGCACAAAAACATTCGTAGTTAAACGTTTGAGAGACAAACATTTAAAAAACGACATTACAAACCTGCGAAACGATGGATTGAACCTTTTTATCAAAACTTCTTTCAGCCATTGTGACACTCACACAGAGGCGACGCGGCTCTGGTCGCATAGCAACAGCAGCTTCAGCGCGCCCGCACTACGGCAGCCTTTGAAAGACATTTGAAAGGCGATTTAAAAAACAACGTAAAACGTTAATTCACTGCTGGTTGTACAGAAAAACTTTTAAAATTAACCAATGATATTATCTTGTTATAAAAAGGAGCGATTGGTGACAAATTAATTATTTTGAAATGTAATGGACTGAAATTCTGGCTTTAATGAAGACATATTTCTTCTAAAACTATTTTACCTAATCACATAAAGCAGGGGTCTCCAATCCTGGTGCATGTTTTAGATGTTTCCCTCTTCCAACACACCCGATTCAAATGATCAGGATCGTTATCAGGCTTCTGTAGAGCTTGATGACGAGCTGATCATTTGAATCAGGTGTGTTGGAAGAGGGACACATCTAAAGCATGCAGGACTGTGGCTCTTGAGGACCAGGATTGGACACCCCTGCCATAAAGACTTGCTGCAGTTCATTGTTAGAACAAGACAAGGCATTTTCATCTATTCTGTACTTTTAAATACATGTAGGCTCAAAGCTGCTTTACATGAAAGTGCACACAACGTCTGCGTTTTGGTTAAAATACACAAAAAGGTCAGAATACACTTCATGACAGCACAAAAATGTTGGAAGAATGAAAGTATTATAACTAGATTTTGATGCAGGGACCCCGTGTAACCACCAACCACACCCCAAAGTCCTCCTTTACTCAAAAATGTGCTGTGTTGTTACTTTGCTCGGGCTGCAGGCTGCAGATTGACATTTGTGCAGAGTTTGACACTGAGCTTGTTTTCACATTCGTCTGAGAAACTGGTTCTCCTGTCCTCACCCTAAATCTGCCTTTAACACATTTACGTACAAGATGGTTTTCTAAAGTCGCCATTTGTCTGGAAGCCAGTTGTGGTCCAGTTACAACTTGTACAAACTTGAAAAAAGCATGTAAGCTGAGAATAGAGGAGGACCAGACTTCCACCGGCTAAAACCAACAGATTCAAACACTCCTTTATACCCTCTGATATTTCCCTGCTAAACTCAGAGAGGAAAAGACTGATTGGACTCTCTTTTTAGCTGATTATTTTATTAAGTATTTATGTTTTTAGTGTTGTATGCATCTCACATTTGCATAACCAACTGTCACACTGTAGATAAATAAAGTTTCAGTGAGTGATTACTGAAAAAGAGGCATAGTGCTCCAACAGTGAAGCTTTTAAAAAGAAAAGCAATTATATGTTTATAGATTCAAAGGTTTTCAGTGAGGAAGAATGAATAGATGATTCATGTGTGTGTTTTTTGTTTTTGTTTTCCAACTATTTAATTGCTCTTTTTGTTACACATAGCATGACATATAAACGAGTATTCAAAGCAAAACTGCCTCTAATAAGTTAAAACATTTCTCCGGAGGGGGGTACTGTCAAATTTTGTCAGTGGATATAATTGTGTTAGTGATGTATATTCCCACACAAACATGGAAGAAGTCTTTTTCTTAATCAAAATACCACAGTGTAGAAATACCAATGCTATCAATAAAAGTCATGCATCCACATGTGTACTTTCATAAAAGCACAGAAAGTTTTTGCATCTAAAAATACTTCAAGTACTAAAAGAAAAAGTACTTACAATGCAGAATGACATATTTTAGAATGATGCTGATTATTGGATTCTAATTATCCATCCATCCATGATCTATACACTTCTTAATCCTCAAGAGGCAACAATGCTAACCACTGAGCCACTGTGCAGCCTGGATTATAATTATTGATTGATTAATGTGTTCATCACTGCTGTGGAGCTGATAAAGGTAATTTAATCAGTTTATACAGTTTATCTGCTGGGTAGCTTGTGAATTTCCCCTCAAGGATCAATAAAATCTGATCTGAAGTCTATAATATGACATCATAATTTATTTGTATTCATAAACTAAATCTGCAAAGTCATTAAAGTTATCAGATGAACGCAATGGAGTACAAAAAATATTACAGTTACCTTTTAATTGTTGTGGAGTAGAAGTGGCAGATATGGAAATATTCAAGAAAAATACAAGTAACTCACACATGTACGTGAGTATAGTACATGAGTAAATGTACTTAGTTACTTTCCACCAAAACCAGTACTACTACAATTCTACAGTTTCATTGAGCAGACACTTTTATCCAAAGCGACGCACATCTGAGAACAACACAAGCAAGGATCTAGTCAGGAGAAAGCAATCTAGATAAGAGCCATAGAACAAAATCAAGTGTGACAGGGCGTTGATGCCAACAGCAGGCTGTAGGGAGGTAACAGGAATTTTTTTATTTTTTTACTACTACTACTACTTCTACTACTACTATCATTGCTACTACTACTACAACTAATAATTATAGTAATAATAACAATAATATATATATAAGCGCTGGGTTAAAGTCAGCAGTATCCATGTAAAACAGAAATGTCCATGTTTAAAGCCACAGTGTTAATCACAGTCACTGCTGTCTTCTGCTTACATCTTGTTTTTAATGCTGAGCGGCTGAGTGCGCATGCGCGTACCCAGCAGCTACTACTCACCATGCACATGCAGAGAAATCCCATAACGTGCGGGGCAGAGCACACCGGAGGGACCCGCTAGTTGTTTTGCAGCTGCCAGCTTTGCTGTTTACTCTCGCCTGTATTTATATCCATGCATCCCGCCGTGTTGGACGGCGGCACGTAGCTCCGCTGCTCGGCCGCTTTAGGAGGACCGACAGCCGGACTCGGAGCGAGCGATGTCGGAGGAGGACTGGGTGGCAACAACAACAACAACAACAGGGCGCGCTGCTGTCCCGTTAGCATCGCTACGTCCTCCGGTCCATGTCGTTTAACTCCGCCGGGCGACTGCAGCCGTCCGCCCCACCCGTCCAGTCCAGTCCCGTCCCGAGGCCCGCCGCGATGGCCGATGAGGACCCCCAGCAGCAGCAGCCGGACCGCGGGGCGGGGAGCCTGCCCGGCCTGCTCCCCGGGCTGCAGGGCGCTGAGGCCGGCGCTCTGCAGCTCAGGATCAAGAACTCCATCTGGTGAGGAGATGTTCCCATAATGCTGTGCATGGTCTAGTGACTGAAGGGGGATTTCATCACCAAATTCACAAAGTTTTTTTTGGCTTGACCTTAGCTTTGGGGACAGTTTCATCATCCTTCTATTTATTCCTAATGATCAGGGGTTAAGCAGAAGCAGCAATGCCACAGTGTACTCTATTACAAGTAAAAGTCCTGCAGGAAGATCAAGTACTGCAACATGTACTTATAATGTGCACAAAAGTACTTTTTAAAGTACTTCTAAAGCAGAAAACAGGCATCACGTGAGTAGTACATTGGTGTTTGTTGTACATCTTTGATTGAATATTCATGCTTGAATGTGTACGCTGCTTGTGTAGTTGTTTTATACTTATACATACAACTCATATTTTATTCTGTAACCTGCAGTTTGAAAAAAAAAAAACAACCTGCAAAGTGACTGCAACTGCTAGATAGAGCCAGTGGAGTAAAAAAAAAAAAAAAGCTCACTGAAATAGTGGCATAACAATGAAGTACTCAAGTAAAACACAAGTACCTGATACACTTTCTCACATCCCATCACTGTGCTCACTTCAGTGCAAGTAGCAAAGCCACAGTGTGAGTCTACTTTACTACAAGTTTAATTCAAATATTAAATTATGAAATTATTAATATGAAAAGCGACACAATTCTAATGAGGATAATGATGTTTTCTTTAGTGACACACTGTCATGTAAGAAGCATTTTGATGTTTTATCTTGTCAAAACTGAGCTGATTTTAACTTTTTGATACCAGCTAATTACTTTTGTTCCATATTTTATAGATTAATTACTTTTTTTTTTTTTAAATCTAAGAACTAAATGCAGCTGTCAGGTCAATGAAACCGACTAAAAAGTGCAAAATTTTCCTCTGAAATGCAGTGAAACAGAGTTTTTAGAAGCAACTGTTCAAGTAAAAAACAACTATATGTGCGAAAGTAAGTCTACTGGAGCATTTAGTTGGGTTCCACCACTGTGATTAGCTGCACATGTTTATTTATATGCATATGTTTTAAAGCTGGGCGTGAATGCTGACGATGTCTTCAGGTGGTTTGGTGTTCAGGTGTGACAGACAGTGTGGGCCTGTGAAGATTTAGTAGGTTTTGTGTGAATAAATGTCCCACACAGTCTGCTTCTGTATCAGCCAGTTTAGAATGGAACTGCTGTATAATGGATAATGATTAATATTTTAGCTCAGATCTTAGAGGAACAAGGTGTGAGCTGACATTTAAACTATAAATCAGATTTTTTTAAAGTTACTCTTCTTGTATATGAGGGGTGTAAATCTTCTTTTCCTCTTAAAGTATAAAAAACTGTAGCTCGGGTTTCAGTGTCGCCGTATTTTTTCAGGTGAAATGTTGACAGTGGTGGAACTTTTTTATAAAATGTCAACACTTAAAACTGCCAAATGGTACATTTAGTCATTTAGACAGCTTCAGCATGCTCACATTTTGATGCACCAGCAATAATGATCTCATAATGACTTAAATAATTGTACAACTGTAACATAATTCCTACAAAGTTTTACTTCAAGGACATTTTCACTGCTGGGTTTTTACTTCTACTTGAAGTGAAGGCAGAACGCGGGCCTCCGCCTCACACCTGCCTCCTCGTCTCTTGCGTGTTTGCTGATTGGCTGAAGGCATTCTTACAGTAGCGGCCGTCTATATTCAGGCCGAACTGACGCAGCAAACGCAGCAAATGTTGACTGCCGCAATATTAATGTCACTGAACATAAATACCACGAATTGTAATGATATAACTGAATCGTTTTCAGAAAGGTTTTCCTTGAAAGAGCTCCTTGAACTCAGGCGTCTTTTGAGCAGCAGAATTAAGCGCAAAAGTATGCAGTTCATAGTGATATGAACTCTTAATCAAGTAGCAGTTTTAGCATTTGATTTGCATTAAGCACAAGAAGCATGGCACCTATAACTTTATCTAAAAACAGAGAAAGCACTGATGTAAAAGTGGAATACGTTGAAGCCCAAGTGATTAATTGATTGCAAAGAGCAGTGCAAAGTGTCGACTGCAGTCCGATTAAGAGCTCCTTACAATGCAGCACTTGTTTCTGCTGCCGGTTATTTTGAACTGTTGGGTCTCTGCCTGCTGTGGGTCGAGAGAGAGGCAAGTGTTAGGGTTAAGCTAATTTCCTTGACTGCTGTTGGTGAGCGTTGTGTGTGGTTGCTGTTGCTTAAGGCCGCGCTCCGACCTTTAATTTATGAATGAACTTCAGTGCCATCACTTAAATATCAAACAGCCATAAAATGTCAAAAGGCTGAAGGACCGGAAAGCACAACAGTTCAGAGTTCAGACGTCTGCAGGAAATACCTCAGCAGGAACGCGTCACCGTGCCGCTGCAGGTTTATCGATAACACATTGGGATATTGACTATTTGTCCAGCTCCATAAATTTTTAACTCTAAATACGATTAGAGCGTAAATATTGACGTGCACCTCAGTGACCTGCCGCTGCTAGAATGAGACGGTTGTAGTCTGGGTCAGCAGGTTCATGTGCAACACAGCATCAGTCTGTGTTCAGATGAGTTTACAGTAACGTCCCGCTGTGGCGGCAGCGCTTCCCTGCTGAATTACACCTGCACACGTTTGTGGTGCGATGTGAACGATGTCTTGCATCAGTTCTTCATTTTACAGTTCAAGTTCTTGCAAAAAATTGCGTCAGGTGTCGTTCAGTTTACCTGCCAAATCGGCCTTACCGGCGGCTTAATGACGGTCTTTCAGCACCGGGAAATCCTTGACCCCCTAGTAACAGTGAATTAAAGTGAACTGTTCTTGTCATGGCTTAGAGCGTCTCCTGACTCCGACCTGCCCGGTGTCGTCAAGTAAGAGTCTTTAAATGTGACCTACCTTCTGTCTCACAACAGTCAACAACAGCCTGAGCTGTCTGTGGATTACAGATGAACCCTGGAGACAATATTTATTTATCTGGTTTGACCACGTTGGAAACTGTTATTTATTACTATTACAAGCTATTTGCACAATCTCTGTTTCTTTTTCAGTGTAAATATTGTATATATTTTTTTCACTAAATAATATATTTTGTCATCTTGTGTATAAACTTATTTTATTACTTAATTATTGTTATTTTCTTGTACTTTCTTTCTATATTGTTGGATGCTGCTGTGGAGTGTAAATTTCCCCCAATGGAGGATCAATAAAAATGATTCTATTCTAAATGGGAACATCAGTTTGGTCTGATGTTAATTTAATCTGCACCTTTCACCACAACTATGTGCTGGTCACCTTTTATTGTAGAATATACAGTCAGCATGGGTATGTGCAGCAAAATAAAACATGTGGCAAAAATCCTCAGGGATAGAGTTTGAAAATGTTATTTAACACAATGGCTAAAAACATGATTAAAGGGTGAAAGTCGATTATTTTGATCTGATTCCTCCTTTGAGATTAAATCCACACCAGATGAAGCAGGTTTCCTCAGTGATTTGTGGTTTCTGAACCGTTAAACGTCTCCTATCCCAAACAATGTTTGTACAGTGTCCGTCTCTCTCTCCTTTTACATATGACAACATGTGTTCCTGGTGGTGGGATACATGACCTGAGAGATGCTGAAGGGAGGGTCGTCTCATACCAAACATTCCTCTGCTTTATAAATAAATACACTTTAGACACAAGCGCTCATGTTACACCGGCTTCATACTAATTTATACTATGTCTCTATTTTGCAGCAAATCTGTTCAATCGAAAGTGGAAAACATTCTGGTGAGTATTCTTCGCACGTTTTCAATCTAAAAAAAAATTACAACTTTATTTTTTCTATTTTTAGTTAAATGCTGTCTGATGGAATATTGTCAATATATCAGTGGTTCCAGCATGTTGAGCTGAAAAAGCGTTATTTGCTGATGGTTTGTTTCCATCCAGATATCATTTTTTTGAAAATGACAGCGGATCTGTCTGCAGGTACTTTTTAGATCAACCTATAGGGGGCGCATCTGAGACCAAACAACTCTACTGAGCTTCAGGGCTCAACAAGGTCAATTTTTAGTTTGTAAATTATAGATTTTTAAATCATCCTGGTTTAATGTTTATAAAACTCCCTCCAGGCCAAGGAGACTTATTTTTTTGTTGTTGCTGGATTATAGCAAAATGTAGCCTTGCATCGCCAGACCATTCTGTATTGTAGAATAGTCTGGAAATAAACCTCATTATCAGTCTGCTGTAGTAAAAAAAAACAACAAAACACTCAGGCTTGTTTGTATTTCTTTGAATCAATCACAGTTCTGTTGGGTGATAAAAAAAAGCCCAGGATGCAGCACAGGTGTCCCCTCAAAATACTGACAGAGGGAATTGTTCTGGTGGATCGTTGCATGCAGAACTTTTCTGCATGCAAACTGGAAGTTGTTGTTTCATGAAGCAAAGCGGATTTCGAAAACAGTAGCACATACATAGGTAGCAGAAGTTTTAGCTGATGATGCGTAGCCTGCGGCCAGCTAGCTCAACCATGATTTGTATGCTTTAACGACATTGGTAGATCAGTTAATTTGGATGGTAACAGATACCTTTTGGCTCTGTGTGACTTGAGTGTGACAGATTTATTATGTTTTAGCAAAGAGAGAGCCCAGATTTTTAACCGAAAAACTCTTATTCAGTGGGTTTTGGCACAATTATGTGACTCGCCGAGTGACCTCAAGTACTTTGGCAGTCTCCAGACCCAAAATCAACTCCATGAAAAGAACTATTGTTTACAGAGGAGCAAAAGCATGGAATTCACTTTCTTTACAGATCAGAGACACTAATATAAAGGCTCTTTTAAGAGGAAAGTAAAGGGACAATTGGCACAGAATACGTGAGTATTCTTCCTCTGTATAGTGTTGTGTCAACTTGCATTTATTGTTATCTATTGTACCGGGTTGCGTTATAAATGAAATGTTTGCTATTTATTATGTATTTTTAATGTTTTGTAAATTGTCATTCTCCAAACATTCACTCATTTCAAATGTTAGCCTCGCGCCAGTCTCCTCTGTACTTTCATATGTCTTGTTTGACCGTTTTGTGATCCCTGAATAATGATTTTATCAGCAGTTTGGCAATGCTTGTTACGCAACATAGTGTTTATGAGCCACAGTCAAAAGTCAGATTTCTGTTTTCTGACAAGAAAAATAGAAACATCTGGAAATGAGAACCATTATAACTTGAATTCATCTGCCAGAAAAGGACATCCTCTCCTTTCAGTCCTGTCTCCATAGTTGCAGCCTGTTATGATGTCACTGTAGGATAAGCTCCGCCCACCATTGACCCCTCCCCCTCTGGGTTCCTACCTGCCAGTTACTGAACAGAGTAAATGCAGACAGAGGTGGTCTCCTTCCTGAAGGAGCAGCAGCAGCTCAGCTGGATTTAATAAACCTACAGAGACTCAAACAGCCTGTTTGGAGCCGTGATGAAACAGAGTATTACAGGCGCAGCAGAACGAACAATCCGTGCAGTGTTTAACGCTGAAACAGCACATTCTGGGGATTTGTGAGACTTACAATAACTTGTTAGGACTGAATCTAATGTGACCTTTGAAACCTATGATAAGTAAACACACAAAGATGGGACTTCATGCTTCAGAGATGTGAGATGCTCCGGCAGAAATAGACCTGCTGCATAAATATAGCTGAGCGTGGAAAAGAGCCACATGTGAGACACTGTGGACGTGAATCTGATGGATGCTGCACCGGTCGCAACGCTCTGTCGTCACATTCTGTAAAAAAAAATTTGAAGTGTTCCTTTGAATTTGGTTGTTGCTGATTAAATTGTCAGGATCTGTAGTGAAATTGTAAGTTATGATTTACATGATGCAATCTCCACGGTCACAACAACAAACAAACAAATTCAAAGCACTGCCTCAGATTACAAACCAACTCCATCATGAAATGTCGACTTTATAAAGCTGCACAAAATGAGCAAACCCAACTTCGAATCAACCAACAACCGCTGCTGACATCTGGTAACAGGTTGTTTCAAAGTAAAATGAGTAAATGCGGGGAAAAGAGTTGACTGTGTGGAGGTGACACAGTAGCATACAGACACTGACAGTCCGAGTCGACAGAGCAGGAAGTGAGTCACGCTGTAAAGGCCAGCGAGGGATACACAACCGGGTTTCAGCAGAATCACTCACAATGCGACAAACAGAAAAAGTGATTGTCTGCTGTTCTTAGCTGTTTTTAAAAATGACAGCATTCCTGAGAATTACGCATCTTTAACTGTCACCGATGCTGCTCAGCGTCCGTTAACTTCACGGATAAGTCGTGGTTCTCCGACAACAGAGGAGTTAATCATTATTAAGAGTCAGTGTAAAGGGGGAGTATGTCTGAGTGGAGGAATGTGTTGTGAGCGAGTGGATGTGCGTCTTTGTTGTAACCGTGCAGCACAGAAAGGTTAACAGCAGTTCACGCTGCAGGCTTGGCTGCTCTTCAGAAGTCTTGTCTGTCTCCGTGTGTCTGTCGGCAGCCATTTATACCCAATGTGTGCACATGTTCGCGTGTCTCAGGCTGTACGAATACACAAGTGTTTATACGTCCTGCATCTACGCCGTTTGGCTGAAGTCAGGAATAAACTACAGTCTCGTTAGACCATCAAAGCATTTTGCAGCTGACGTTAGATTCTCTCATGTGTCATCTGGCCAACTATCTCTAAAATGTAATATATTTTTATTTTAAGAGCGGCTTTCTCTTTGCCTCCCTAAAACTGAGACTGATCTGTGAATTCTCTTCAACCTGTTCAGATTGGTGGCCCAACTCGCTTGTCTCATTGAGTTCTCCGCTGAAAACCAGAACCACAGATAATGCTTTTATGCTTTACACATTCCTGGAGAATAACTGGTGGCCACATTACCCAAAATGCAACAGTTTTTGTCGGAGATTCAGGTGTGTTCCAGTTCTGCTAGTAGCAGCTGATGCAGCCTCAAGCGGAGGTAAAGAGTGGGCAGCAAAGATGGAGCTAGAGATGAATTCATGCAATCTTTTTTTGCATCTATGCGGAAACTCTCAAGAACACCTCTAAACAAATTCTGTGAAATTACTCTTTAGCTGTGTGCAGTAAAATCCAGTTATGTCAACATGAAGGATCATCAATAGTTTGGCTGTCAGATGAAAAACGAATCATGTCAGACTGCACAAATGTTTCCATGTAACTTATTTGTAAAAACCAAA